TATAACAGCTGGAATCATTCTTTGCTGTGGATGGTTGTGAGACAGGACAGGTATTGCTGGACACAGAAAATGTAGAACAAGTCATGATGTTAATTCGATACCATCAAAGATGAGGCTCATTGTAAAATCTCATTATAGGCCACAAAAGCAGCCCTGAGATTGCAGAGAGAGTCTTGAATATATTTTGTCTAAGTGCACACATCACTCAGCATGGCGCTCTCAGCCACTATTGTACATGTGCAGTCTCCTTCTCTGCTCCCAGTGGCGTTAGGCCAGATTCTCAGCTGACACAGCTCTGTTGATTTCAAAAGCTTTACATCAACCTACCTCAGCAAAGAATCTGACTGGCTATTTGATATGGCCTGGATGCCTTGAATTTTATCTTACTGCCTAAGCTAGCTTCAGTAATGAGGGGGCTGGTAATGACCCAAAATAGCAGAAGTAAAAACTCACTTATCTTTTGGTCCAGTTTCCAAGGATGCAGCTGCTATGCTGCTCTAAAGGGCTTAGGGTCTATAAGATGAAAGTCAGATGGGCATATTTATTATAATTTCCAGGATGTGTATGTGCCCAGCTATACCCCTATCTCCCAACATGCCAGATAGGGAGAATGCATCTAAAGAGCAGGCAAGACTGGAGTCAGGGATAATTCTTCCTCCAGCATCCCCACGACAACTCTCACCACTGGAATAACAACTAGGGATTTATTGATAGACTGTGTCATCCATGCAGCTAGAACATGCCTTTCCTTGACAAACACCACTGGGAATGGGAAGGGGCAGCTAAAAAATAGTGCGAAGTGGGAGGGCTCATTTAGTGAGATTTTTAGTAAAGCGAGTTTCTGAATGTTTATTATATTCAAAACAGTGAGTCTTGCAGAATTGATTTTTCAGTCAGGTCACCATCATCTGTAAGCTAGGTACGTGAACACACAACCAAATGCAGTTATACTCCCACGGACAGCAGGATTTCGTCAATTATTTCTTTTTAATTTGAAGACTTGCATTGTGGTCTCACTGCTCTTTGCTACTCTGACAGTCCTGAACAAGCTGTTAAAGTTGCTACAGGCTCTGATTAGTCCTGCTGGAGAGACTGTTAGCCCATGTCTTCACTCAGCGGAAGATGGATGCTGCCACAATCAGTCTTCTGGGTTTAATTTAGCAGGTCTAGTTAAGACTCGCTAAATCAAATGCGGAGACCACCCCATCAGTGGCCAATACTCCTGCTTCTGCAAGGAGTAAGGGAAGCTGATGGGAGCATTTGCTCCCATCACCTCCTGCTGGGAGACAGCAGGGAAACTCGAATCAAAGAACTTCGACTCCAACTCCAGCTATGTAATTAACATAGCTGGAGTTGTGTTTCTTGATTTGACCTTCCCCTTTAGTACAGACCTGGCCCAAGATGCATGGCAGGGATGGATGTGGCAATATATAGTAGAGCATTGCTAATTGACAGTTTGTGTGATGAGACTAGTAGGTCTTTAAATAAATAATTCATAATCAGAGGTTGCATTTTGGTATACAAATTACTACCACACAACTGCCATCATACCAAGTACACTACAAGCACAACACTTAATGGAATTTGACATACTATATGACTAGAATACAATTTACAATACCATAGCCTCACTTAAGGATCAATTGCTAAGATTTGCATAGTATTAACCAGCAGGCAAACTGCATCGAAGAATTAAAGAGGTTCTTTTGCATCCTCTGTATCATCAAGTACTTACTTAGGCCCAGAATATGGGAGTCCCCTTCTGGGATCTCAAAGGAAAAGAGGGCTAAAAAAAAATCCCTCTTCTGCAATTCCTGGGTAAGAGTTATTTACAATTGCAGTCCTAAATACTTGAAGAGGCAGCAAGAATTTAGGATAACAGTTTTCTCAGAGTTGCCTCTGGGACAGGTACCTTACCCAGTGCAACGGAAACCAATAATCACTAGAATCCATGGCAAATGAGCACAGTCATGTGCCAGGGTCTTGGCCCCAGTCACTTAATCTGAGGCTGCATACTAATCACATGACATCCGGGGCTAATGGTACGTTAACCTCTGCCTAGTGGACAGGATAGAACATTCAGTTATTTTATTCAAAGCATCTAAATAGCTCTACCCAAACCACTGTACAGTAGAGAGCTTCTCACCTTTTCCAATTAGCTTCAGGTGTTTTTACAAGCAGTTTAACAAGCAAGGATTAAAAAATACTAGGTAATCTGCCAGTTCCAACTCCAAACACTCCCCCAATAAAAACAGAAACATCCCTACACAAACCATACCTTGTATTTCAACCCGCTCCCTTAAAAAAACCCAATTGAAACTAGAAAAGTGCCTTGCGGTGTAGTCCGAGAGTTAACAGACTTGGGCTCTCACTCATCCCACTTGGTTGGTCAATTACAAGAGTTGAGGAGACTCAATAGAGAATGCCCTGCCAGCAGCCTTTTACATCAGGGACTTTGAACTCTGGTGCTACTGCACATGGAGAGCAGGATAACCTCACATGGTTCCGTGTCACATTAGACTTCTCAGGTCATAAACTAATTCCACCAACTAGCAAGCTGTCAATGCAGATCCCAGTGCAGCAGTGACTATAAGCCAATTGCATAGCATATCGTATTGGGAGAAGAGCTTGTCTTTGACTCTTGACCCACAGACTGCTACATGAAGAGCTAATGTGGTAGTTAAGAACAGATCATCTAAACACACCCAGACGGTGACATATTGCATCCAGTAGAGGTTCTCTCATATAAACCTAGTACATTATGCATAGGAATTGCTACATCCTCTGAAAATTCAAAGGCAGCCACTAACCATGAACAAAAAATAGCTACAGACAATACTGGTGTATTGAACGAGCATTTAAAATCTCAAATGAATTATCCTGATAAAGGTTCATTGTGTCTGAAACACTGGCTGTTTTGACACTTTCCCTGTATGCACAGTGCTTCAAGTTTGTCAAAGCTTTTTAAATTGACACTTAGATGTACTCAGTACATTTACATAAGACTCGCAGCTCCCCAGTCCTGCCCTTAGCAAGCTTTGAGTAATGTGTAAATCCATTTCTGCTGTAGCTGTATCAGAATCCTGGTTTGGAGCAAGGACAAGGCCTATCCAAAATATGAAAGTAAGAGAATAGTACACAAGCCAAGGGGATCTATCACCTTCCTGTGGGGGAGGAGACAGAGGGCATTAGAAATTAACACAATTAAAAATAGGTTTATTCCCTATAAAAGCCAAAAGTCCTTATGCCAAGGGAAGAAAGGATTCCTCACTTTCTTCCCTACCTCTGTCTCAGAGAAGCACCATTTAAAGCTTTTTGTAAGCAACTTTCCTATACTGCCTGGGACAGTTTCATGAACAGTGCTCAGATTCTTTTCATTATTACCCCCAAAGGATTATTTCGGGGGGCGGGGGCGGAGTTCCTTCTATTTTGGTGGTATTTGGTGGGCTGCAGGCATCCACCCTGACCTTGCCTGAGTCCGATTCCAAGGCTCAGTCGCAACAAGAGAGCTCTTCTTTACCTGTCCAAGACAGACACTCCAAAATTGTAAAAAACCCCAACCCTCAGTTCTCCATTTCTGCCCACTTTTTTCCAATAGACAATACAGGGTTGTTTTTTTTTCCTGGGGGGAGGGAGCTTACATTCTTTCATGCAAACCTCCTCTTGACATGGCCTGTCGAGTTGAATAATAAATGACAGCAGACAACATATAATGGAAATCCCAGGGAGCATTGATATAAAGGCCACTGCATGGGAAATACATTTAAGCACTCCTTCATAGAAGGCCAGTAACAGAGAAAGAGAAATGCAAGAGAGAAGAGATGTAATTTAATATGAGAATTGAAGAGTTAGTGAGGCACAATATGTACAGAATGCATAGCCCATGGGCTGTGAAGCACTTCACTAAAGAGCACTTATGGCCTAGTAAAAGAGCATGTGAGAATAACAATTTTTTTGTTTGATTCCCTAGCAATTCCAAAAAAAAAAAAAAATTGGGAAAAAAGTCTTCTGGGATCAAACCAAAAAATTATTTAAAAGGTTGGTGAATCAAAAAGGAAAAAAGATCTGTTTCAGGATGAATGAAGAGTTTCACTGAGATATGAAAATTTGGATTTGACCATTTTTTTATTAAAAAAATAAAATTAAAGGGAATTTTGAAAAAAGCTGTTTCAATCATCTGCCTGCCTCCCCTTCCCCAACAAAAATCAAAGCATTTTGTTTAGAAAATGTCAAAACAAGACATTGCCTTTTTTTCAGAATTTTGGGGGCTTTTAGTAGTTTTCCTCCCTGAATCAATTTGGGAAAAAATATTAGAATCTTCAGAATATTTTGATGTCACCCTATCTGCATCTTTCTTTCACAATCACACACACACACACGTGTGTGTGTGTGTGTGTATATATATATATATACACACACACACACACACGTGTGTGTGTGTGTGTGTATATATATATATATACACACACACACACACACACTCTTTAGCCAAATTTTTTTGCCCAGTTCTATTTATGGCACATAGCATAAATAATGCAGACTGTTGCATGGAAGGAAGGCAACAGGACAACTGTGAGAAGCCAGGTTAACAACAGCTCTTTCCACAGCAGTACAGAGAAAGTTTTGGGGGCAAAGATGTGGCTGGTCTGTTGTTACTGGCCAAATCCCTCCCTTATGCACAGTAGAGGGCTCAAGGAACAACAGAGTCATATGAAGTCGTAATAGACCCCAGGTGTTGCCAACTGGCTTTGTATCAAGCCTGTATGGGCTTGGCCCAGGGCTGCTTTGTTCCTTAATAGCAAGGAACAAATAATGGTCAAAAGTAGCAATTTTATCTGCTAATTTTCACACAGATCATCAAAAGGGAATCATTGTCTTTTCTGCTTATATGCTGTTTAGCATAGGAACCTCTCTCTTACTAGGTGTTCACACAGTATTTAACAAGACAGTTCCACCCACCCCTCCTACCCTCCCCAGTTTCAGTTCTGCCCACATCTTACCTCCTACATAGGCCCCTGGCTTGGTTTCTCTCATTTGCTGGCCCACGAGTCACTCTGCTCAGCTGATTGTGGGGTAATTTAACATAGCCTTGCAACTCAGCTCAAAGAAGGAAGAGGCTTGCCCAGAGTCCAAACAAAAGACGCCACAAACCAAAGGTTCTCCTCCTTCACCTGTTGATTACATGGCTGTCCACGGCTGAGGCAAAGATGTGTCTCTCTCTACTACAGACACCACCTGGCCCTTGTGACCCCAATGAAGCAGATGTACTCCAGCCAGCCTCAAACTTCACTCCCAGTTGTTATCTGTACCACATTGATGCACCTGAGAGCAAGGAAACAGAGCAAAAGTAGAACAGCAGCTTCAACTGAGAGTATGATAATTGAGTGTTCCTGCCTCTCACGGAGCACACTGGATCCTGTTCTAGTTCCAGGTATTAGTTCAACTCCACGGTCTACAGGAAAAGAAACAAAATGCTTCCTTCTGGCAAGACCAGTTTGCTCCCAGACCTTTCTTGAGCCCAGCTGGAAACTCTGTTCTCAATTAGCAAGCACAGCATGTTCCAGGGAGAAAGGGAAGACGCTTTCTTTGCTGGGAATTAACCCCTCCCCTGCCTAATCTAGAATGAGCTATGTTCACCATACAACTTCAGCTTTTGGTACAACTTCAGTCCAAAGCAAAACCACAATCCAAGGCTTCTAATATTTTTTGTCTTTTCCATGAAGAAATTTTTTTAGCTAAAAAGGGTTTGCCCTTCTGTGTTCTATCCCTCTCTAAGTTACCTATGCGACTCCATTTACCACAGCATTTCAGCACTTCACAATCACTAATGTGCAAGAAGGAAGCACTATTATCCCCATTTTACACCCCAGGAGTCTGGGGCAGAGGAGGGACTTGAGTCTCTTAAGCCCCTTGTTAGAACCCACAGTACTGGACCATCTTTCCTATTTGTGTGTTAAATCTTTATTTACATACTTCTGTATCATGCATCCGCCCATCGCTTTCATGTATAGCACCTCCTCTGAGGCAGTAACACTGTTTCCGTGTAGCAGCAGCAAAAGGAAATGGAAGAATGGAGCTCACTGCATGAATCAACCACTTCCTCTCTGGATAGTGAATGCCCTATACTAATGTCATTCTCAGGCCATGGTAGAGAGTGGTCTGTCACTAAGCAGCCATCATTTATTTCTTTCCGGCAGCACCTACAATGTACTAAGTGTAGGAATATAGGCATGGCCTGATGTGAGTAATTAAACATGAGGGAGGTCTCATTTCATAGGAGATAGGTGTAGAAAGGTAAATTGATTAGCAGGCTGAAAACAGAACATTTGTGCTAAGTAAATGGGTCTGTAAGCTAGGAGACAGAATGTCTGATCTAGCCAAGATAAGAGGGAGAACACCGAGGCTGTGTCTAGACTGGCAAGTTTTCCGCAAAAGCAGCTGCTTTTGTGGAAAATCTTGCCAGCTGTCTACACTGGCCGCTTGAATTTCTACAAGAACACTGACAATCTCATGTAAGAAATCAGTGCTTCTTGCGGAAATACTATGCTGCTCCCGTTCGGGCAAAAGTCCTTTTGCGCAAATGCTTTTGCACAAAGGGGCCAGTGTAGACAGCTCAGATTTGTTTTGCGCAAAAAAGCCCCGATTGCGAAAATGGCGATCGGGGATTTCTTGCGCAAAACCGCGTCTAGATTGGCATGGACGCTTTTCCGCAAAAAGTGCTTTTGCAGAAAAGTGTCCATGCCAATCTAGACGCTCTTTTCCACAAATGCTTTTAACGGAAAAACTTTTCCGTTAAAAGCATTTGTGGAAAATCATGCCAGTCTAGACGTAGCCCAAGGGAATCATTTACTACAAATAAAAGCACAATAAGCATAAGTCAGGAATGTAAAAATGAGGTAATGATTAGATTGAGTGTGGCCAGTGCATAAACAGAGCATGCTGGAGAGGGATTGGTTCTTACAAAGTTATCAATCCAGTCCAAAAATGTGTAATGAAATATATAGCAAATTCACTGAAATATGTATATGAAGATAAAGGTTTGCTAGGTAACTTTGGATGTGTGGTACACCCTCTATCCACCCTCTGCTCTTGAGTGTGATCAATTTGAGGTAGCTTTGCTATATATGACAGATAGTGAACCCTAAGTGATGAGACAGGAATTAACTAAAGTCTTGGGGAACCAAGTGGAAAAGGGGGAACTTCAACACTAAGCACTGTACACATATTAAAGAAGGCACAGTTCTTGCCTCACAGAGCTCACCACTGAAGGCCTTAATCATGGAGACGCTTACAGATGATGTGCTTTACTTTGCTTCCGTGGGCCAGCAGTAGATGTGTGTATGTGTTTCAGTGTTCCCAATTTCTGCAAATGTATCTGGACTAATGCGATTTTAGCCCCTGCTTAAGTCCATCTTGTAATGTTCCAGAAGTTCCAATCTTCACATAATTTTTTGACTTCCCAGGAAAAAAACCCTCTGATTGGCTGCCTTCTTTGCTCCCTTGGTGAACAACAGCCAGCCACAGTTACTGCCGAAATCAGGTGGTATGGCGCCTCTCCCCATCGCCTCAGGAACTGAGAAATGTTTTGGGGTAAGTGATAGTGCTGAGAGCACGACCAGTATCATTTCCAAATGGGAAAGTGGGGACAGAAAGGCACCAAACAAATTGGTTTTGTGGCTGCTTTGTGTCACCCAAAAAGGCACAGAGCAACTAATGTGTAGCAGTGAATCTACCCACTGGGTCTTCTGCTATTGCAAATATTCTGTCAGTACTGAACACATATTCATCAGTAAAAATTTGCTCTTTCTTTCATCTGGAGGGGAAATGTGTGCCAAGACACAAGAGAAAGAACTTTCCATTTGCCTCTCTGATTCCGTCCCTATCTTGAGCATGCCTACCTTTTTTATTCTCCCTCAACGCACTCCCACACTATATCTATTCCAGACTTTTCTGCATCAGTGGCTTTGTTATTTCCCCTTTAGTTGAGCTCTCAGACATCACATACACTGGTTTGGTTTGGTTTCATTTTAATTGCATTTCTTTAAAAACTGAACAAAAAAAAGTTAGGCTTATCACTCGGCTTGCACATGGGGAGGCGGTCCTGGATGAGTAAGCTGATGCTAGATGGTTTCCAAGCAACTTCAGTAAGCCACATTGGAATGGCAGTTCAATATAAAACGCAACAAGCCAAACAAAACAATGAGTTGCAACTCAACAAGAAGCCTGTTTTGATTGATTCATAAGGATTATATGAGGTCTTTTGTGAGGTTAATATTGTTTTACTCTAATGGAGACAGATGCTGGTTCTGTTGAACTAGTATCTGTAGCACGAGACATATGATGTGAGTGTTTATGCAAAGACATAAATAACATATGTATGATAAGAGGCCTGTGCACCATGTGAGTAAGATGAAAACTGCATGATAGCAGCAATGCTGTGACTCAAGAGTTCCAGGAAAACCAGCCTCAGCATATCCAAGAGCTGGAACTATTTAGATTTTACTCTGTTTCCTTCCCATTCCATATGATTCTTGCAATGTATTTATCAAATAATTATATCCATTTCCCCAGGATTGCTAATGGTGCAAAAAGAAGTATTCCTGGAAGAATGTTCATTTTGATGGTTTTTCATCTATCTAGTCAAGATAAGAGCAGGACATCTTGTCTGTTTAAATTATATTTTAGATTTGCTATAACTTTTGAATCTCAGCAGGTGCAGTCTCAGCAACACCAACACTAGGATGAGGATGGGACCATCTTTGTTCGCCATAACATTCCCTCTCCCAGAATCACCACCATTTAATAGAATCACAAAGCTCCATGACCAAATTCAACTTCATTGCAACTTGCAAGAGCTAAGAATTTACCCCTCACTGCTTGTACTGAAAAATCATTGCTGGTATGCTCCAGCTTCTCAACTTCTTTTCCCCAAACAGCAGCGAGGAGTTATGGATATGGCATACATGCACAACATTCAAGTTCTGGGTGGGTGAAAAGTAGGGTTTAGGAGAATACTTTATTATGCAAGATTCGGGGCCAGACTCTGGCTATGTCTAGACTACAGAGTTTTTCTGGGGTACCAGAGGTGTCCCGGAAAAACTCTGCCATGTTCAGGGAATGTGCCCACTTTTTCAGAACAGTTTCCGAAAAAGCGGGGGCGTTCTTTCAGCATCCCTGTATTCCTCATTTTATGAGGAATAAGGGATGTTCCGAAAGAGGAGGTTTTTCCAAAAACACAATCAGAAAAAGGTATGCAAATTGCAGTTCACAATTTGTGTATCTTTTTCCGGAAAAAAATGGCAGTGTAGATATAGCCTCTGGGATTAATTCACTGGTGTAAATGAAATGCAACTATAAAAGTCAGTTGATTTGCACCAGTTTGACTGAGATCAGAATCCTGCTACTCTACTTAGTGCAGAATTCTTAAGAATCTGCATTGTGCAGAGAGCTACTAACAAATAATATTTTAAAGACAGAGGGTCGGATCCCTCACTATGTTTCTCCAAAGGTGCTCCAGGCTCAGTGACGACTGTCTCCTATAAAAGTAAAGGGACTGTAGTTAATATGTTTTAATGTATGGAAAGAGTCAGAATGGAGTCTGATCTTAAGAATAGCTGAGAATGTATGGTTCTTCTCTGCCTCCCACCCTGCAACCCCCCCATTGCCCAATGCATTTTTAACATACTTAGTGGAAGAATGTCATTTATCCTGCTGTTCTTTTTAACATATTTTAAAATCTCCTTTACTAATGTCCTTTTCCATCTCAGGGATTTCAAGTAATAAGCTGCTCAAGATTCACACTCATGGCTGATTGGATCCCCAGAACCTTCTCAGGATCATTTGTTAATTTTTTTCACTGTCCCATCTACAAATTGCCATTTAGAAACTACCACCTTTCCTAGGAGGATTTCAGAGTAAAGCTCTACCTAATTATTCATGACAGGACAGAATGAGGAGCTGCAAGCAGAACTACTGTATTAATTCATCTCTTGAATTACAAATAATTAGTTAAAGGAGATTAAGATGGAATAATTTTTAATCATTTCTGTTTGGATTTTAGAATTATAAAAGCTGACAATTTCACCTGGTGCAGACATACCGAAATTTGCTGAACCAAAATCCAGAGAGAGTGACATCACGCTTTTGTGGTATTTTTTAAATAATGTATTTTATGTTGGGATGGACTGATGCCTAAATACTAAATCCAAGCAGCCCCAAACTTTTTGAAGTTCTAAAGCTCCAAATCCTATTCTCTGGACTGAGCCCACATCTAATTTTGTGTGTACTTTTACAGAGCCTTTCCCTGTACCTTGATCTTGATGTAATTCTAGCTTTGTGAGGAAGTTGCACAAAGTAAGTAGTTAGATAGATTTCTTCCAGGAATCTGTGGTGGGGGTGAAGATGCCTGGATAGAGTATAGAGATGCTGTAAAGGACAAATCAAGAGGATTGGGTAACAGCCTGTACATTAGAAATGAGGGGAAGGAGGAGAAGAGG